TTTATTTTTTCAATGTCATGTAATTAAAAATATGCATGTATTGATGTAAATAAAATCATATATAGTTTTATATATTTGTTGATTCAATTTTTCTTTATAAAATAATGAAAATAGGGTTAAAAAAGTAGGAAAATGAAAGGATTAACAATTAATGTGTTGATTATGTATTAAAAATAAATCAAAATAATGAGAAAAAAGATAAATAAAATATAAGTGTTCTCATTGAACAACATTTTGGTTCTTCCTTTAATATATATATATATATATATATATAGATTTATATCAATTAAAATATAATATAAATAAATAAAAAACAAAAACAATAAAATCAATAACTTATATTAATTAAAATTTCTTTAAAATAAATTATAATAATAATAAGGCAAAAGATAATAATAACAAAAGACAAAAAACCATTAAAAACCAAAACCAAAACCAAAACCAAAAATAATAATTGAAGTAGTTTTAAGGGTGCTAATAGCAATGGATAGGGATGCCATTAGCCTTCCCTTTTTGAACTAGTTTAGGTTGATAACGTCATAGTTTGGTTTATTATTTCCTATCTTTACTTATAAGACGGGAGTTTTGTAATAATAAATACCCTTAAACTTAACGATTATGATGTCGAATATATGATGCAACCATCTCTTATCTCAATTTTAGTAATGTTAATCGGTTGAAAGCTCGTAAAAGAGCCACATCCCATAGAGCATTGGGTCTATACGGCTACACTATTGGTCGTCACAAACCACACGTATTAAGGTTTTTCAATGGCCCAACAACTATACAACGTCGTCCTTGATCTCTGTTACTGTGTGACGTTAATCAACGTTACAACAATCCCTAGACGTCTTTCATATTTTTTTTCATGGTAGAGATGAGTAAAAAGATACAGTTAAAGGGGGACTACACCAGTTACACAAATTTTAATATTTTTTGAACATTTGTTTCAAACAACGATTAAAATCAGGCAAATAGTAGCAACCGCTTCGTTTTATACCTCAAAAGAAACGTTCAATATTGGATATTGATTTCTATTTATTGCGCTTAGCAGCACGCTTTCCGTGTCCTTTCTTAGGGGCTCCTTTTCCTCGACGCTTCAACATTTCAAGTTTTGATAAACGACTGCAACATCAAGACAAGATCAAATAATACAAGTTATACTTTGAAACTTGACTACATTATTGCAATGTATGTAGAAAACGAGTTATCTGCAAATTCGAGTAACAAACGCAAAAAACTAAACTAACCCTGTATATCCACCCGGGGTGGGGTCTCAGTAGAATAGGATGTATGCAGACCTGACCTCTACCCGAATGAGTAGAGCATCTATTTCTAGGTAGTGCAATTTGAAAAAGTAAAGGAATTGGAAAGTGGAGAAACAAACACAATATGAATTGCAGAACAAAATGAGTGAAAACAACTATGTTTGGGGTAAATCAAATGAGAATTATAAAAATGTTGAGAACCGTGAGAAACAGTTTCACATGTGAAACAATGCATGTAAATCATACAGTATTGTTTCAGATACAAAACAACATAATTGTTTTAAACGTGAAAAAGAACGTCCATATGTTTCATATATGAACCACACACACACATGAACAACAATACCACCTTGACCCGTGGCTAAAATGAATCTATAGAAATTTTGTGATTGGTTTTCACGGTCCTATATCATTTTTGTGGTTTTCATTTGATTTATAGCTTTTGAGAATGTTGTACCACCTCAAACAAAAAAGCAAAAAAAGGTAAGCGGGCATCGGTAACCGGTTCTTTAACCAGCCCAACTTCAAAAAATCATAATCAATTACAAGCGATCAAGAAAAGATTTTAGTAACTAGTCTAGTGTCTCTTGTATCACTCACTTATAAATATGTGTTTCAAGTGAAAGGTAATAAAATGTAGGTCAGACTCCTCGATCTCAACAACCACCGGATGTGATGCAAAGAAGATCTTAGCAATTGATACTACAAGCAGACATCTCACTACCTGCATCCATCCGATCACAACCATTACTTAAAAAAAATTGGTGTCATTTAATACTGTGTGGCTTGTAAGTTGAATCCCTCTATAAACCATTCAGTGTTTAGTACCTCCTTCGATACCCTTCAACTTATTCCACATCCTACGAGTTTCTGCCTTGATATCCCAAGTTCTTTCTTTAAACCCTATTGTTAAACTAGACAACTAAACCCATTACTCTAGGGGCAGTTCCGTCTTTTCAGTACCTCCATTGCAACTCTTCGAACAACCACATCTAAGACTGCACAAGAGCAAAAAGTCTAACTTTCGACAGTTATGATTCTAACTTTCGACAGCTATGATTCACGAAGGACCTGATTGGCAGATCTTGAAAATACACACACTCACCCAATCATCACATTTTTGCACAAGATGGTAAAAAGTCTCCTATTCGTATTCAAAATCAAACACCTGAATCATCATTTCAGGTGCTTCAGGTGATATCACTGGAAATTTGAGCCTATATTTTTTTCTCATAAACCATGTATAGGAATAAGAAAAATTAGGATTGCAGAAGGGTCTTCTTCAAGCAATTGCAGGAATAGTTGAAATGAAAATTTCACATTCTTTAACCTTGTCTAAAGTTAGGCAATGTTCCAAATTGATCTTGCAAGCGTGTCAATATCAACCCATTGTAACACTTTTAGATAGGACACTTTGTTGTTTGGTCTTACAAAACATATTCTATTAGGATGCCTAGACATGTTAGGTGTCCTCTAAACCCGATTTTGTTGTATTGACGATTGTCTCTATATCTTAGAAGAAGGCACAAACTGGAATAAAAGAGGTCAAAAGAACTCCAACATGAAAATTATTTCCATTTCTGGTGATAACTACGAAGATTTGTTGCATTTTAGACTAGGTCACCCTAGTTTTTATTACTTACAAAGATTGTATCCTTCTTCATTTCATTTGAATATATATATATATATATATATATATATATATATATAGGCCTCTCCACTCGACATAATCAGGATTTCTTCTCAAACCCAACTAAGCATTGAGGACACCTTTTGCTCGGAGGGCACAATCGATATATATATATATATGTATATATATGTATGTATGTATATATATGTATGTATGTATATATATGTATGTATGTATATATATGTATGTATGTATGTATGTATGTATATATATTGTTGGTGATTTGTATCACTAATATCACTCAAGTGTAATGGGATTAATTTGTTGACCAATGTAATCATGATAAATATTGAACAAGTAAGGAAGGTGCGGAGTGCACACTTGTTTGAGTTTATTTTGATTTAGGGGCGAATCCCCTAAACGACGAGGGTCCGGGGGCAGCGCCCCCGGTGGCGGGGTCCAAGGGGCAGAGCCCTGGCTGGGGTAATATTGCTTTGTGGAAAATGCATTAGAAATCCGAATTTTTAATTTTAAACCCGGTTTAGGGCTTCAAAATTGTCATTTTGACAGTTTTCGGATTGATTTGGCTTCAAAAACTGTCGTTTTGACAATTTTTATATGGGTTTTTGGTCATTTTTCCGTAGAGAGAGAGAGGTACACATAGATTCATAACGATTTCTGCATACTCAAGTTCGGTAAACCACTGAATTTTATCCGATTGAGATTTCGATCGTAACGTCGAAATACTTCAATCTGAAAGTGATATACGACTTTCAGTGGATTCCAAGCAAGTTTTTTCTAACAAAGATTGAAGTAATTCGTGAAAATGTCTGACAAAGAATTTGTGAAAGACATGACAAGCAAATTCGATAAATTGTCGAAATTTGAAGGGCAAGATTTTCGTAGATGGCAGAAGAAGATGCACTTCCTCCTTACTACCCTGAAAGTGGTGTACGTTCTGAGTACCCCTGTGCCTGAATACGTTGAAGATGAAACTTTGGAAGTGTCAAGGAGGAGATTGAAATGGGAAAACGATGATTACATATGTCGTGGCCACATCTTAAATGGTATGTCTGACTCTTTATTCGATGTTTATCAGAATGTTGAATCTGCAAAGGAACTATGGGATTCTCTGGAATCCAAGTATATGGCAGAAGATGCTTCTAGCAAGAAGTTTCTGGTCGGTAATTTCATGAATTACAAGATGGTCGATACCAGATCTGTCATGGAACAATTTCATGAATTGTTGAGGATTCTGGGACAATTTGTCCAACATAATCTGAAGATGGATGAAGCCATCTCGGTTGCTATGATTATCGACAAATTGCCTCCTTCCTGGAAAGAGTTTAAACACACTCTGAAACACAAGAAGGAAGAATTAACTCTGGCTCAACTTGGAAGTCACTTTAGGATTGAAGAGTCTTTGAGGACTCAAGAACTTGACAATAATCCTAAAGGTAACAATCAAGTTGGTTCTTCTTCTGTGAACATGGTGGAAGGGTATGGGTCCAAGTATTCCAACAAGTTTAAAAACAACAAACGTAAACAAAAAGGTGGAGATGACAAGTTTTCCAACAAAAAGCCTAAATTGGTATGTTGGAGGTGTGGTAAACCTGGTCATTTCAAGAAGGATTGTCGTGTTCGTAAAGTGAACAAAGATGGGGCTGGTCCAAGTGGGTCTAAGGATCCAGGAACGCAACAAGGTCAGAATTGTGATTTAGTGCACAATCTAAATAATGTTCAGAATTATATTTCTGTAATTTCTGAGGCATATTATGTGCAGGATGATGATGTTGCTTGGTGGGTTGATTCTGGTGCAACAAGTCATGTTTGCAAGGATCTTCGTTGGTTTAAAGAATGTCAACCAATTGAAGATGGATCTGTCGTGAAGATGGGAAACGTTGCAACGGAATCAATCAAGGGATTAGGACGTGTTTTACTTAAATTCACATATGGAAAATGTTTATGTTTGTTTTGTATGTACCGGGGATTCGAAAGAACCTCTTGTCTGAAATTGTGTTGAATAAGTGTGGCTACAAACAAGTGTTGGAAAGTAACAAGTATATCTTGTCAAGACATGGTACTTTTGTTGGATTTGGCTATGTATGTAATGGTATGATTAGGTTGAATCTAGATTATCCTTCTTATGTTAACTCTATTTGCATGATGACATCTAGTACTAGCAATAATTTAAGTAAATTTGTTTTATGGCATGCTAGACTAGGACATGTTCATTATAAAAGGTTAAAGGATATGTCTAAAATGAGTTTAATACTTGTTTTTGACATGAATAATGAAAAGTGTAAAACTTGCATGTTAACCAAGATTACTAGACAACCTTTTAAGGATGTTAAAAGAGAGAGCAAAGTATTAGAACTCATTCATAGTGATTTATGTGATTTTCATGCTACACCATCACTAGAAAATAAAAAGTATGTCATTACTTTTATTGATAATGCATCTAGATATTGTTATGTTTATTTGGTGCACACAAAGGATGAAGCTCTTGATAAATTTAAAATTTATAAACAAGAAGTAGAACTACATAGAAATGAGTTGATAAAAGTTTTGCGTACTGATAGAGGTGGTGAGTATTATGATCCGAGTCTACTGGTATAATACATCAAACCACGGCTCCTTACACACCACAGCAAAATGGTGTGGCTGAAAGGAAGAATAGAACCTTGAAGGAAATGGTTAATTCCATGTTGTCGTATTCAGGCCTAAGTGATGGGTTTTGGGGTGAGGCTATGTTGACAGCCTGTTATATATTGAATAGAACTCCGAATAAAAGGAGTAAAAACACCCCTTACGAAATTTGGTATAAAAAGGTACCAAATTTGAGTTATCTCAAAGTTTGGGGTTGTAGAGCAATTATAAGGCTCACTGAACCCAAACGGCAAAAATTAGGTGAGAAAGGTATAGATTGTATCTTCATTGGGTATGTTGAGCATTCCAAAGCATATAGATCCTATGTTACAAAATCTAATGACTCTGTGTCAGTTAACACTGTTATAGAGTCAAGAGATGCTATATTTGATGAAGAGAGATTTACATCTATACCTAGACCAAGGGACATGATTTATTCCGGCAAAACTACAACTCAAGCTGAAAATGTGTGTGGTGGTACAGATTCTGTACCTGGACCATCTGAACTTAGGAAAAGCACTAGAGCTAGAAAAGCTAAGTCTTTTGGATCTGATTTTCAACTTTATCTAGTTGAAGGA